AAGCTTAGGGAATCCAAAATTAGATGAAAAATCTACAAGTCTCTTTTCACTGTAATGCAAGTCCATTTACAACCAGATTCTCCTTACAAGTAATCTCAGCTAACAACCGTGATATTCCTATACTGTCTAAAGTTACCATTATTCCTTTCATTGCTCCTTCATCACATGCCTAGCACTCTGGCACTTGATATGGAGAAAAAGTGGTCTCCTGCTCCTGCCTGCAAACCTGCCAGTTTATCTGGGATGGGTTTCATTTGTCTAACAACAGAGACGATAATAGTATCTTAAATTTTTCTACCACTTCTGATTGATCAAAATAGCTCGATGGCGTTCTAGGGCAGAAGAAGTGGGGAAAAATTGTTTTGAACAGCACCACACTAAAGAAACAACTTATAGGAATCAATGGCAAAATGCTCTATTTCAGGAGATGGTAAGTTAATGGCAATTTATACTTTACGGAAAACCATAACTCTCAAAATGATGCCAAAGATCTGATGGAAGAGCACAGGATATTTTGATACTGCCCAAAGAAACAGCTTATAGAAAGGAGATGTGAGCAGTGAATTCATAATATCACTGAAATCTGCAACAAGGAAATTTCAGTCCAGTTTCAAGAATAATTCAAAATAATGCAAAAGGCATCCATTTTGCATCTTAAAAATTCCATATCTGCAAAGCTTCTCTATTTAAAAAAGAGAATAATGGTAACAACCATACTAATTTATACCTTAAGATAAACTATAACCCCCAAAACTATGCCAAAAATTTGGGATGGTCAAGACATGTCTTTAGCCTCATAGGACTTCCTGATACACAACAGGTGGACTATGGTTGCCATCCTTATCACAGATAAATAATTACATAATGTTATCTCCTAAAAAGAGGATGAACAAGGTCTACAGGCAGAGTCAGGCTGCAGTTCTGCAATCCACAAGTGCTCAATGTGATTACTGCCATCATGTTACATTGCAGCCATTGGACAGCCATTCACCACAGGACATCCCTTAAAAAGCATTGTTCTTTCTTAACTCTTTAAAAGAAGACCATCTCCTGAATGGCTATGAGCCAGATTTGAATGGCCTTCTCATCAGCAGGAGCCTGTATCATTAGCCTGCTGGCTCTTCAGGAAGATCAACATCAATAATAAAATTAATCATCATTATGATGCATCTTTGCCTGAACCAAAAATCTGTCCCAAAATTCATCTGAAAAGAAAATAATCAGTGAAAGTTATGCATAAAAATAATTCTATAATTATGTTTCAAAAGGTTTTATATTGAGAAAATTAATTGCACCCTAGAAATCTCATGTCAAGGAATAAAAGGACAAACTTTATTTAAAAATTAATAATTATATGGCAATGTAATTAACTGCTAAATCAGTTAAAAGATGCATGCATACAAAGGACCTCTCTGTTAGAAAACACAGTGAATGAATGCTGCTACACTTTCCTTCCATATTTTTCTTAAAACTGTATAAAACTTAATGGATGAGAATATTCTTCTTCTAGAACAGAGAAATGTTCACACATCATGATAGGCCACAATATGGCTTGTTTGGGTTTGGCTTAGTATGTTGTATAAATCCATGTAACTGTAGCTTCTTCAACAATCATAATTAAATAGACAGCAATCTTCATGCCCCAAGTTAATACCAGCTTTTCAAAATACAGAACTTCAATGAAAGAAATCTCCTCTGACAATCCTTTTAACACAGGATTTTATCTCTGCAACATAGGTATCCTTGAATGGAGGAGGGGAGACAAGACCTGGGGTGGGGGAGGAGTGATGAAATGTTTGATATGACATGACACAAAAATGCAACATACAGGTAGGTAATCGTTGACTTATGATCAGTTGCTTAATGACCATTTGAAATTGTAACGAAACTCTACCCAGTTCCAACCGTCCCGGTGGGGTAATGTAACTGCATTTTGTGTGCTTGGCAACCGGCCTGCATTCATGGTTTTTTTTTTTTTTGCAGGATCCTGAGGTCACATGACAATTCATGACAATTTTGCCGGAAATGGGAGTTCACTTCCAGGTTTTGGCAGAAATGTCCCCACAGAGGGGTTAGTTTAACAACATTCCTTAAACAATTGCAGTGTTCATTTAATTTATTTTTATTTATTTTATTTATTTGATGTGATTTGTCAATCACTTACAAGATAATAGAGATCAGAATAAACATAAGCATGAATACAGGAAGGCTTCCGGTTTGAGCTTCTTCGGCGACAGACTGAAACCTCGTCTCTGTGAGGCTTTGATCCATGCTCGCCACTGGAGCGCCCCGAGCCGGCTGGTTTCGGGGCTAAGCCACCCCGTAGAGGTGGTGAAGAAGGGGGAGACTGCCTGCAGGGTTGAGGAGAGCCGCATCTCTCCTCCCCAGCTGGCCATTACTCCCTTTCCCAAGGCGGTTATAGTGGTGGTCAGAAAGGGCCACCACAAAGAAGAACTCGACCAGAAAAGAATGTGCAGGAGGAAGATAAGAAGAGAAAGTTTTGGTTGACTGGGTCAAACAGCAAAAGCAACAAATAAGGTATCCTGGAATTTAAATTTAATAACATTGTTCCCAAAGAAGATTTTGAAGCTGCGAAGGAGAGAGAGAAGGGAAAGGATTAGGTTTTTTTTTTTCTTCCCTTCCTTATACTGACAGCTAAGAGACTTAAGCAAGAAATTGAAAAAAATCCACTTTGACATTAAGAGGCATCTAAGCTGAAAATAAAAGTCAAAGGGATAATAAAGGTTTCTGGATATTTAAAAGTTTTTAAAAGCAGGAAAGGACAAAAAAAAAGAATAAAAGGGCAGGATCTGGAAAAATGGAGGAGACTGCCTGGAACTAAGGAATGGAACTGTAACTAAAAGGAACTTACAGTGAAATTTCAACAAGATTCCTCAAAGATACATCTTAATTGAAACTTGGTAACAAAATAATAGAACCCCAGGAAGAGAAAGTGGAAAAAAGAAGCAAAAAGAAACAGCCTTGGATTATTTGGATTACTTGGTGATTTTTGGTTTTTGCATCTGGATGACTAAAATTAACCGGGTGGTTGTTTAAAAGTCTTTAAAATGGTATCACTCTTAGAAGAACTAAAAATGGAACTTTAAAAATGGAAAGAAGATGCACAAGAAGGGAGAGGTTCTTTTGGCTTCGTATTTCAATTCTTAGAAATGGAGATCTGGAACTATGAGAAACAACAAGAAACGCTTGCAGAACAAGAAGATTGGGACAAAGAAGAAGCCATCTTTAATGATCAAATAATTTTAAGTGGGGGAAAAAAGAAAAGGGGGGAAAGAGAGTGAAAGTTTAAAACTAGAAAAAACAACCAAAAAGAAGAAGAATTTGAAAGATAAGTATAATATTAGAAAGCAACAGAAGAGGGGATTACAGATGATAGAGTTAGAAGTAGAGCGACGAGGGGGTAAAAAGGGGAGAGAGAAGAAGAGGGGGAAGAAGGCAAGGAAAAGAAGTTGTAAAAGACAGAAACAAGAAATGGAGAAACAGGGAAAAGATATAAGGATTGTAACCATAAGCTTGTTTAGAGATAATGGGTGAAAATTTAATTGCAAAAGGGATTCTGCAAAGGTACATAAGATAGCATTGTTATATTATAAACAGAAATAATTTTAGAAAATATGATTAAAATGATGGATAAAATATTTACTGTAATGTAGTTGAATGTTTGGTAATAAATAAATGAATTAAAATGATTGAGAGAATTAAATGGGAACATTTTTAATTATTAGTAATGATTTATAAAAATATAAGTGAGAAATATGGAAAAAAAAGAATTAACTATGGAAAGTTTATAAGTGTTCCCAAGGAAGTATGATATTTAACTGAAAAGAAATGTTAAAGATGTTAAGATTTTAATGAATATTAATGAATATTAATGATAGAATTGAATTGGAATGGAATGTGTGCTTTATTTACATATATTTATATATATATAAATTTATTTATATATATATATATATATTTATATTTCTTTTTAAGAATACAGTGTGTATTTTAAGAATGTACCAAGCAGAATTCAATTGGAAGTTATGTATTATATTGAATGCTATAATCTTAAAGGTATACATTGAAGCTTAAATAAGAGCTTGAATGGATAAAATTAAAAGATATAAAGATGTCATACTCCAATTGGTAACTACAGGGAAAAATTTGTTTAATAAGAAAAGATAATATGAAATTGAAACAGGACAGACAAAAGTATAAATATAATGATTTGATTGAGATAATTAAAATAAAGTTGAGAAAATTAAAAGAGGGGGAAAACTATGTAGAAAATATAAAACGGTAATAAGATATGGAATAGAATATAAAAATGGGCATGAAATTGAGTTTGGTGTCTGTATGAAGAAGTGATAACCTGGGACCATGCTATTTTCAAAAAAGATGTTTTATTTGTATTTTGTTTTTGTGAAAACCCAAATAAAACTTTCAAAAAAAAAAGTATGAATACAGGAAATAGGTACGAATAATTAGGGACAATAGGACAGGGACGGTAAGCACGATTGTGCGCTTATGCACTCCCCTTACAGACTTCTTAGGAATGGGGTGAGGTCAATAGTGGTTAGTTTGAGGGAAAAGGAGTGTGGGTTTGAGGATGTAACAACAGAGTCAGGTAGTGCATTCCAGTGTGATGACCACAGAGAAGGCCATAAAATGAGTCTGGTCATGATGACTCATTTTACACCCATCACGACTTATGACCAGAATGGATAAGCACCATTAAAGTCATAAGTTAAGAACTACCTGTATAGACTTGCATGGTGATATTAACAACTGTGAGCCA